GGCGGCGGCGACAGCGCTGGACGGGGACTGGTCTGCCTCCGCCTGCCGGTCGGTCGGTCGTTGGATGGAGGGTCCCGTCCGCCTCGCCTGCTCTCTCTGGAATGCGCCGGGGAGCGGCTGCCGCCGAGGGGGAGCGAGGACTCTATGGGCGCAGGCAGCGCCGCTGCTGAGGGGTGAGTGAGAGGAGGGGAAGAGCCCGGCGGGGAGGATGGGTGTGGACGGCGAAAGAGGGCGGCTGGGAGGGAGTTGTGGGCCGAGGGGGGCTCCGGGACACCCGCTCCGGACACGCGTGTGTGCCCGTGCAGACGTGTGTCGCTTGAGGGGACGCGCGCGCGCGCGAGAGAGAGAGAGAGAGAGAGGGAGAGGGGTCAGGTCTGGAGGACAAAGTGCATGGCCGGTGGTGGCGGCGCCGCCTGCTCCAGGCAGTTTCATGTTGTCAACGACCGGGCGGAGAGCTTGTTCCGTGAAAAAGCCTGTCGTCAATGTGTGAGAACCGGCGCGGGCGCGCGCAGCACCCCCACCCCCCCGAATATATACGGTACGTGTATGTAGGGGGCGCGACAGAGACGGAGGCTGAGAGCCCCGCGGCACCTTTGCAGGGAGCGGTGGGCGCCGCAGGTTCGATGCCACCCGCTGGCTGAGGAGCATGGTGTTGGACTGGCGGAAGGGAAGCAGCAGCTGCAGTAGCAGCGCCTGGCGAGGGCAAGCAGCGACCTCAAAGAGCCTCCCTGGTGTGGCATCTGGGAGATAAGATTTATTTATGACATCCGCCTTCAGATCCGTTTGTCTTGAAGGTGCCCCCCAAGTCTCTGCTCTTCCTCCCCAAAAAGACTTGCAGCAGGGCCTAGATTTATGCAGCTCATTGAGAGAGAGCCCTCTTCAGAAAGAGGTGAAAGTCAGCTTATGTAGCCCTGAGGCTTCCCAGCCCCAGTAAATCTGTGCATCTTTTTAGGCTGACACAACGCTTGTGTAGCAAGGCTTATTGTGTAACAGGCTAACACCTCTGTTCCTCTAGATTTTGATTAGGTGTAAAGACTGGTTAATCTAAAATCTTGCTTTTCTATAGGAACAAACTCAGAAGAAGTAATTGGGAGTAGAATTTTCTCTCCCCCCCCCAAGTTTTCAGTCTTCAGTGCAAGGGCAGTGAAGGGAACAAACTAAACTGTCTCTGAGTATTCTTGTCACATCAAGGCATTGACTCTGTTGGCTTGGGGTATCTTTTGTTGACAGCATAGGTTGTTGTCTTGTATACAACGTGATGGATATCTGCTCCAGCATGGATTTATTTACCTAAGGTAGTTACTGTTTCTTGATTCTGTACATAAATCATATATGGGGAGGCTGGATTTGACTCTGCTGTACTGTTTGTACAGATTATTCTCTTCTAGATTATATAGTTTGGAAATATGATCATTGTTCTCACTCCAAATGCAAAGAATTGTTTGTATTTTTTGATCCTATTAATCATCCTGGACTCCCTATCATGTCAGAATGTTCTTTTAGTTACATTACTTTGCCCTTATTGCATGTGTATGTAGTGTCTGGGAAGTAATGAATGAACTTTAGTTCTTAAAGATAGGGAATGTGTTTATGATATACCTTCAAAAATTCTGTGTGACAGAGAGATTGAGAGAAAGAAAGAATTGCAGTAATTGTTTGTGTGAACTGGAAGGTATTCTTCCTGAACTGGTGAAAGTGCTGATACTGGATTTTCACAACAAAATCCCAAAGAAGCAGATAATTGGATCCTAAGTAGCTACCATGTCTGCAGTTTCTTTGATGCTGACTTGATCAGAAACTTGTTTTTGATAAACCCATCGGCAGTTCCCAGCATTATGTGACTGAAAGAAAATGTGACTGAAGTTCAGTTGTCAGCTTCAAACTGTTTAACTGCTGGCACAGCTCCTTTTGAACATGAAATTGTAAGCTGCATCTTGTTTTTCTTAAAGAGTATTTATAGCAGAAACACGTTGGGAGGGTCTTCTCATTTGAGCTAAGATGAAACATCACATTTTGTCTTGAAACATTAAATTAACTGTTGTTGCTGCTCAACTAAAAGCATTCTTACTTAGAACAGCTTGTGTTGCTGTTATCTGTTATGCACATGTTAGTTGCATAGTCTGAACATGCTATGTGTGCAAAAAAATGTTAAATTTGGAAGGTTTGCTTCTCTGTATCTGATTCAAATGAACAGTTTGCTCAAAAAATCAGCAATATAATTCACTTTGAGTTGTGACATTACACAAGAAACCATAGATGCTTTCAGCATCTTAATTAACTGAAAATCCAAGTGACTTGATTTTCTGTATACTGTATATAGGATATGATTATTAATTTTTGTGAAATCTCCATCGACTAATAACATCTAAATAACACACATCTGTTACTTGCATCACAGATTGATCACTTGTCTCTTTAAGTTCTGTTTGACTAGCAGATGATTGGCTAACCTCTACACTAAGTGTTCAGGTATGCTTTTCTTTCAGTAAGAATGTATAGGGTCAGCTAATTTCCTTGCAGAAGCTCAAAGTTGAGAGAGATACTATTTTGCTCTAGCTTTTTTTAAAAAAAAATCATACCTGCCTTTTGTCCACCCTTGCAGGTGATCTGGCTTTGAAAGGAATTAAGTTGATTTTGTTTAGATAGCACCTTTGGTGTGATAAGCAGACACTGCTCAATGCGTTTTACACCATTAAAAATGTATAACTACGTTTATTCTGCAAATATGTTATGACTTGGTACTGAATTCATTTTGAGAGGCCGGTAATCTGACATTTTTCCATGGTAGGTAAAATACTTTTGGAGCTGCTTCTCCATGCATTATAAGTTGAAGATTAGTTTTATCATGGGAGTAATGAATTAGAATGGATCCAAATCATTTGATACATACTTTGACAGTTGTGCACTATTTATAAGTATAGTAGTTAGATTTCATTGTGCAAGGAGTTAATGTAATGTACCTTCAAATCCTTCCATCTGTTGGAATGTTGGAAAATAAATAAGGAATTTTGAAGTCCACAGAATTAAAATGCAGCATTTAATTATGCTGAATTATATTACTGGATTTCATATAGGAAGTTAAAATGTGAAATTAAAAAATCACTTCTAGCTTATATTCACGATTGAAGGTTTAAGCATGACAAGTTTGCTGGTTTTAAAAGGAACCCATGCAGTATGATATAACAGAAAACATCCCATGCTGAATGTTTAGTATTTGGAATGGTTTTTGTTTAAAAAAATTGGTTCAGTTTTTCATGCTTGAAATGATACAGTATCACTGTCATCTACAATCTGATAATAGTACCTAGGTGATATTAATGTGGCTCTTTTAAAACCAAACTAATTATATTTGCCTGAAAGAGCCACATTAGTGTGATTCTAGCTCCCTGGTGCTTTTTTGGAGCCCTGGAGACAACCTAGTGAATAGGGCTGAAAACTCATTCTGTATTTGATTAAATGGAACAGACTCGTTGCTTCTTACCCCAGCAGGGGCTATGAGATCTCTTGATCCCCGAAGCGGCTCATAGACCCTGGGAATTCTATTAGCAAGCACCTGAGGAATTTCTGCCCTGCAGTGCCTTTTTTGTAGTAAGGGGGGAGTTGGGGGTGAATAGAACAAGACATATATCACTCTTGATGATATGTGGGGGAGGTTGTATTAGAAGGATCCATATGCTGGCAAATCTAAAATCAAGGCATGACTTGACAGCTTATCGGCTAAGAGAAAAGCCCAACCCAAAAGAATAGTACTGTAATAGTCAGACCCTGAAGTTTAAAGGAGAACTGTGCTGTACTTGGGACACTAAAATTAGCTCATTCACTCATGTTATTGAAAACATCTGATTCTTTGTTTCTCAATCTGAAGAGGCAAGTTAGTGGAAAACCAGTATCAGTGCAAACATTCTTGTGGAGTGTGGGTAAGTTTTCTTTCTTTCTTTCTTTCTTTCTTTCTTTCTTTCTTTCTTTCTTTCTGTAAGGTATCTGCTTTATTTTTTTACCAAAGAAATTATACATTATTTTTGATTGTAAAAGAGTTATATTAATATGTTTCACTTTGCAATAAAGACAAATCTGTATAGATGAAGCCTTCCAAAGTGCAATTTTTCTCCCCTCCCCCCTTTTTGGAAGATATCTGCATTTTTGTAACAGTTTTTTTTTATTTAGTGTTCAAAATACTAATTAACATTTGTTTTACTTATTTAGTTAGTTTTTGTATTGTTTTCTTCTTTTTATAGTTTTTAAAATGTTTTTCCTAGCATATTTGGATAGTGATTAAGTGAGAAGCTTTCTTGCAATTCTATGTGTCCATACAGAAGTAAATCCTTTTGAATTGAGTGGAACCTATTCCCAGATAAGTAGGTATAGGTTTGCAGGTCATTTACCTTGAATCTTTAGCAGTTCAGGATCTCAGATGAATTTATTGTTACCGTATCTTCATTAGTAATGGTAATGAATCATTACAATAGTAACACTAGTGTCTAGTGATGTTAGTGATTTGACAAGTTTGTGATGATCATCTTTCAGTACTGAGTGGTTTGCCTGTTATGTGACTGCACATGGGTCTTATGCCTAAATATTTCATAATGCTTTATTTTTAATAATGTACTGTACTTAGTAATTGATGTAAAGAGCCAGTGTTTCAATACTGCACCCTGCAAAACCATGATTATGAAGTTTCATGAAGAACTGGTCTTGAAGATTAACACTTTGTGGCATATTTTAAGATGCCAATCCCTCTCTCATACATACTCTCTGTCTCAGTCTGTCTGTCTGTCTCCCTGCAGCACCTTCACCTGCTCCAATATCTTGCTATATTTTTGAATATGAAAATATTTAATAAGTTTTTCCTGTAATAGAATTGTTTCAGGAAAGGTTGCTTTTCAGATTCTGATATGGACAAGTCAGCTGCAGTTGATACACTGGAGTTCATACACAGTAGCAATCTTTGGAAAGCTTTTGTTCCAATGGATTCTTACTGTTTACCTTGTTTGTTAGTGTCTTTTCTGTCTGCGTATAAAGCATGAATATGCTTAATGATTGCATTTATTGAAATAGTAGTATATATGATGCACTTTGTGATTAATATATTATAATTTGAATCCAATTTGCTCCTATAATCATCCCAAGTAGTTTTTCTGATTTATTATTTAGGAATGTTAAAAATGAGTGTATG